CCCCAAAACCCCAAAACCCCAAAACCCCTCGAACGGAAATTCTAAAAATCTATCAAAGCAATTTAAGTACTACAATAATAATTTAAAGTTTGTTACGCAAAATGGAGATGCAGAGTAACTTTTAGAAGTTTGCCAAAATTGAGGAAAAAGCAAAATAAAGAACTGCCTTTATTGTCAAGAAAATGAAAAATTTCAGAGTAACTATCTTATAAATTGAATCGAATATTATAGTCTAGATTTATGAAACAAGTAAAGTATGAAATGACTAGAAAATCAGTAAAAAACTTGCCTTAAGAGGAGTTCAATGATGAATTTGTCTCAGTAAATCAAATAATTCATATTACCCATAATGCTTTAACAAACTACTATAGGCTGACGAATACAGAGAAATATTGAACCAAGATCTTAAGGATGACAGTATTTAGGATGAAAAAATGATTAAAATATCATTCTTAGACAAGACTCAGGCAACATTAAAGCAATCGGTATATGACAAGATTCAGGATAAAATAAGCACTGAATTTTTTGAATCTGCATACTATTAAGAACAGTACTTTCAGCAAAATGTCAACTAAGCAGACTTTCTAAGAATAGAAGACAAGATTAATTAATCAGAAAGGTTACCTTGGTTTGTTGTTGAAACCATCTGAGCATAAACTTCTAAGTTTGGAATAGCAATAATAACATTAAGATTAAATGAGAGAGAATTTCAGAAAGAAAAGATCTGGTAGTGTGAATTAAATTGTACTTAATAATCAAGCTGAAGTATAAAGAAGGATGTCTAGTGATTCTATGTTTCTAACCAGTATTTTGGAGCAACATCATAAAAAGCAATCAATGGGAATTGAAACTAAGCTACCCGCTTTAGCTGAGCTTGACAACTCAATATAAAGAAGGAATTCTACCTTTTCAAGAAGAGGTAGTGTTGCTTCTTCTCACTCCCAAAGAAGCGCTAGTATTGTCGGTTCTACTTATTTTGGCAGAAATAAGAATTCAATTCCTTCTTTTCTACTACCACAAGTTAAAGAAACAGACAAATAAAAAATGAGAATAGATAAGATAATAGACAACTGCAAGAGATTGCAAGAAAAGGAGGCAATAAGCAGCTAGAAAATAAAAACAACTGCCAGGACAATAGATGATGGAGTGAACTAAGATTTCAATAAGTTATAAAAGAAAATATAAATAATACTGTCACTTAATAATGAAATTAATACTCGTGACTCTAAAGCTTCTCTCGTTAATAACTTATGAGAGTATCTTATGATAAATAAACCTAAAAAGTATATTGTATTAAGATTGATGTAATAAATGCATATGAGGGGCTTAACTTAAAGACAATTAAATTTGAATGAGTTAATTCTAGTTTATTCATTCAATTACTTATTTTATAAAGATATCTAATCCTAAATTAAGGGGTTTTGGGGTTTTGGGGTTTTGGGG